AAAAAAAAAAAAACTCATCATGACACTCAATAATGAAACTTTAGAAGAAAGTTCACAAAATGTGAAATAATGTTATTATATATTTCAACCAAACGTGGCCTTGTGTGAAAGTATTAATTTTTAAACCATGGTTCAAGTCAAATCTTGCTTTTTCCTTCCCTCTTTCATCTGTGTTGTAACTCGTTCAATTAAAAAAAAAAAGTCCTTTTTCCTGGGTTGACCATTGACCCCTGAGGAGAGAGAGAGTGTGATTTTTCTCGTGCCCAACTTTTTTTTTTCCACAAATCCCACGCTCTCAAGTGCACGCGCGGAAGCTTTCTGTTACAATGTGGGTCCCACTTCACGGAACAAGCGTGAGGTGCACGTGGATTTGGCCTTTTGACATACAAGGTTGTCTTGTCTTTATTCTGATAAAAATTATGTTGTAGTAGTATATTTTTTCACTTTTTTTTTTTTTTTTTTATTTCATTTCAACTATACTATATTTAGTCGTGTAAAATTTATGTAGAATGATTTAATCTATGAGCTCGAGTCTGGCTCATTTATTTCAACATTGAGTCTAACGAGTCCAATTAGAGATTGTTTCATTTAATGTACGAGTTCGAGTTCGTATCGTTTATCAATATTTATGAGCCGACTTTGAGCCTAACAATTCGAACTCTAGCCTACCCCAACCAATTGAGCTCGAGTCTAGCTCATTTATCGTCTGTAATGAGTCAACATTGAGTCTAACGAGTCTAATTAGAGATTGGTTCATTTAATTTACGAGCTCGAGTTCGTATCTTTTATCAATATTTATAAGGCGACTTTGAGCCTAACAATTCGAACATGAGCCTACCCCAACCAATTGATATAAAATTACATAAATAAATTATTTTCCAGTCGATCTCACCTCGACTCATAAATTAAACAAGTTCGAAATCGACTGGTTTATCAAACGAGCTTAGCTAAACCAAACTAACAAATGATTCGTTTAGTTTAACAACTTTAGTGTTAGTAACAATATCTAAGGAAATTCAATTAGGCATGCTATAATTAATTGACATTATAAAATTAGTTACGAGACCCTTTTGTTAAGGTGAGATGTGATGTGAACGCTTCATTTAAACAGTGGAAAACTCTTCAATGTTTTACTACAATTTGTTTTAGTTAATTAATGGGTTTGACTTAATTAGTGTAGTATTTAATTATATTAAATACTACTACATCCTAACACTCAATACAAATATGTTACAACTTACAAAAAAAAAAAAAAAAAAAAAAATGGTCCGGTGGGTGGAAAACCGAATTTAATTTGTCTTGTCAATTGGGAACAAACAATTAATAGTTAATAAAGTTCACATTTAAAAGGAGGTTACACGATGAAAATTAAATAAAATAAAAAATTTAAAATATGTTTCGTCAGTCTTTAAACTACATTAATTAATTTACACCTAAACCTGCATACTTTAAATTGTACTATTGTCTAGCTTTAGAAGATTTATTATCATATCTATCTATTCTAATTAAACTATAATATTATTAAATAAGTTAATTCCCTTCTAATAAATTACTTTAAAACAATTATTCTCAATTTCTATAAAGTTAATTATTCACCTAAAATGCCTTAAAAACTTTATTATTCTCAAATTTTATCTTCATTTGAGTTACTATTTAATAAATTGCTTTAAAACATTTATTCTCAAATTTTATCTTCATTATTGGGCTTAATATTAATTAGAAATTTCTAGTAAATCAAGATTAAAATTGATTTACTAGTAAAGAAAATGTAATGTAATACTACCTCCTATTTTTTTTTTTTAATGTCATTTTGGCATAATTAACAAAATAAATATCGTTTTGGATATTTTGTAAATATTTTTCTATTATTACCCTCATCTAGTTAATAAATATGTTACGTCTTTTCATATTCACTCTTCATCTTTTTTCAAAATATTTATCTCTATCTTCATTAATGAGAGTTATTATTGCAAAAAAATATTATTAATAACTGTGCAACTTCTCAAAACTGACACTTATTATGAATAAGAGTGAGAATAACAAATAAAAGATATATGGGACTAAAAAGCCTATGGCCCGATGTAATTTAATAGTATAATATATGAGATGATATATCGGAAAATAGCAGCGTCACTTGAGTGACTTCCAGTGACACTCTTTTTTTACTCCTGATCATGTGCTCGCCATCACCATTCCGATATTATTGAACTAAATTTAGAATATTATAAAATTAGAAAAAAAAAGATCTATTTTTCAAATCTTAGATGTTTTTCTTGTTTCTTTGTTGTATCATTTTTCATTTAAAACTTTATAAGCATATATAAAACCAACAAAAGTAACAATATATAAATTGATATGTATATAAATTGTGTATGCATATTCAACAATAATACTTTCAATCCACCAATGTTAAAATATTTTAAATCTTTTTGGAATATTCACAAAACACTTAAGAATTTTCATATATAGAAAGAGACCATTCTAAAAAAGTGATATATAATTCAAAAATTTTAATATGAATATTCATAAGAAACTTATAGGACATTTCATTTATATGAGGAGAACATTTTTTAACAAAGTTTTAAATGATTTCAAAAGCCATCATCTTTTTTAAGCAAATTTCAAATAAGAAAAATAAATCTGATGACAAACCATAAAAATTTGAAAAATGGTATTCAAATTAAAAATATCACAAATAAGGTAAATAAACACATTATAAACACGGAACTGTTATAATTTCACGGTTTTTAACAACTTTTTTTTATAATTTGAATGTACGAATTATCAATCAATTGGGGTATACTTCGTAAATTTATTATATATGTAGGTAGTAGAAAATGAATCTATATCTATATAATGGACTCATTTTACTAAAATTAGATGATTTTTTTCTGCCTAAAATTTTCGAATAAATTTGGAAATACTGTTTGTATATTCAATTATTCACTCAAACGTAATATATTGAATATTTATTGACATATTCTCCCATACTATATTGGTAGGATAAAGAAGGCTTACATCTTCGTAGATTCAGCAAAAAATAAATAAAATGGTAATATATTTGCATATTATGTATGATGAATGGTAATATGCTTATTTTTAAATCACACTTATATAAAATTATCAAACACGCATTGTCCATATTTTGTTAACATAAACTCAAAAGTTGTGAGGAGTATTTATTGCATAGAAGAAAAAAAAAAAAAAATAG